TATTTGACACCAATGAATAAATTGATGTGTACTGTATATTACTGTATGAATAATAGCATTAAAGTAAGATACGGATAAGATTCAATCATACAATTATATACTGAGTGATAAAATCTGCGCTAAGTAAAGTGAGCTTTTAGCCTTTTTACCTTATCATTGTATGAGACGATCTTATTCTCCAAGTTAATTATCCAGCAGTCCTTATGATTTATTCTCTTAACAACTACAAGACGATAAGAGATTGAAGCTTATAGTATTCATTTATGACAGCCAGCTTTACGTTAAAGTTTTCAGATTATGATCATAAGCTTACTGGCACCAGGGCGAGCATCAAAGTTGTGGACTTCATCCTAGCAGGAGACAAAGAGACTTATATCGACGATATATCTGTGTTGTAATCTGTTATTCTATTCGCTTACTGTATCGCTACGATTCATACTAACAACAATCTACAATGCATTCTGTAGGGAGAAAAAAGCTATATACTGTATAATGTGCAGTTGCAAAACAAATTTGTGTCACTTTTTATCTTTGGTATAAATCAAATTCCTCGATTGCAAGCAAGTTAAAATCAAGGGGTATGTACTGCGTTGGAGCTACAACATTGTTGTTTCGATGAGCATCAAGATAAATTCAAGACGTAAAGTTGCGTATGTGCCCATACGCACGTAAAGTATCAAAATAATGTGCACATTTGACATAATAGAGCCGCGATGAAAAGAGCTATCATGGGTAGCATCGCTCCGTTAAGTTAATAAAGTACAGTGTAGCAATAGTACATATACTGTATAGTAGCGCAGAGCGGGTAATATAGAGGATGGTCAACAGTGACTATGTAAAACTTGTCAATAACCAATTCTTATCAAAGTGTTAATACAGTAATAAAAAATGAATTATAACACTTGTTAATACTAATGTACCGTTTTACTTCCTAAAAGCTAAAATAACACTAATCTCATTATTGAGCAACCAATATGCAATGCAATTGCTATCAAAATATATCCATTATACACATGGAATATTATGACTAATGCTGTGTGTCATGAATGATCTCTTTCGGTTGATGCCTCAACTTAACCTGGAAGCTACATGTCTTTTCGTATACACATGCAATACTATGATTAATGCTGTATGTAATGAATGATCTCTTCCGGTTGATGCCTCAACTTAATTTGCATGCTACACGCCGTTTCGTATACGTAATAACTTCCAAGTACTGACATTTTATAAAATATATATTATCTGCAGTGTATCTGTTTTTAATCATCTATATACTGTATAACACTCGATCTTGAAATACTTAGACGTACGGCCACATCAATAAAGTTATGACTAAAATTTAATAATCGTAAAACTAACTAGGTAGATGAATTTATTCAATACAAAAAATAAAACAAGGGAAGCGGATTGTTGAAATAATAGCATTCTAGAAATAAAATGATTACTTCTTTAGTGACTAAGTCGGTAAAATGGACACTTTGACCATAAATATCAACCCAAGCCAATTTATTAGCAGAAGCATCATAAAATGGTCCTTCAGCAAGGATTCCTCCCTTATTGAATTGTTCAACGACGACGTCTGCCATATCTAGAATGAGATGCAATTTGTTGGGCCGCCTTTCTTCACTGCAAGATACTGAATTCTGATCTCTACGCTGTCGTCAATTGACAGTTTATAAGAAATAAATGAATAATTTGCTAGTCCTTACGTATACTGTTAGAGGACTAGAGTTCAACCTTGAGCAATTTTTTCACCACTAATCAACAACGTCCCTATCACACTATGAACGCTGCACAGCCTATTGCAATGCGTTGATGATCAACAGTAAGCAGTAAAATAAAGTATAACTATACAGTATGCGAATATTATTAATAGTAAAATAAAGTATATTATACAGTATGCGAGTATTATTAATAGTACCTATGGTGTATAATATAGTATACTGTTCTATATCGATCACGCTTTAGTCTATACTGATACGATTTACAACAGACAATTTCGACCAGTGTTTATGGTTGCGATACTGATTTAGACAACCAGTCGAGGTAAAAAGGGCGGATTTATATTTTAGCTAGTAAATAAATAAAATAAAATCGTTTTTTGCCCCTTATTACCTCCATGGTTGTACCAAGACGTACAGTAGACGTAGACAAGTCGTAGTGCCATACATCGCACCCTTGCAACGCTTAGTAGTATCCCTAAGAAGAAATCTTTTCAAAAACTAAGCGATTTTGTAGCTTTAAAACCTTGTAAAAGACTAATGGATAGTGCTAGACCTGTAGGATAACGTCCATCTTGTGCGTCATTCAAAGACGGTTCGTTTGGAACCACTTTCACACCGGGCAAAACTTATTGTTTATATATTTTCATACCTTTGCACCAGGAGCAAAGGTATAAAAATTACATGGATTTGTATGAAAAATGGGTAAAATTTGCATATTTTCCCATACAAATCCTCTTAGTGGGTGGGTGGGAGGTTGCAGTGGGTCAAATGACACACTATTGTAATCCACAACTCCTTGCGGTCAAAATAGGCTACAGTATGAAATTGTGGATATATTTGTCTGGATGGTATGCCTATTTGATGGCCATGTAATTTTCAAGTATATTCATTCACCTGTGGCCATCAGAGGATTAATTTATAGTACTTATGTACATAATATGGTATACTGTTCTATATCAATCACGCTATAGTCTATACTGATACGATTTACAACAGACAGTTTTGCCAGCGTTTATGGTTACGACACTAATTTAGACAACCAGTCGAGGTGAAAAGGGCGGATTTGTATTTTAGCTAGTAAATAAATAAATAAAATCGTTTTTTGCCTCTTATTACCTCCATGGTTGTACCAGGACGTAGACGTAGACAAGTCGCAGTGCCATACATCAACGTAATGCATAAATTACATTATGTTATAATCGTAAGGAAAGTAAGGAATGTATGTCCAAAGGTGATATATATATATATGTATACTTTTGCTTTTGTAAATATATACTCGCATATTCTGATATAATATAGGTAAACCTAATTTCAGTGCGCGCAATTTCAAATTGTAATTATGCAAACTTGTCTTACACTTCAATTTTAAAGACTTTTATTAATCAAAGTAACACTTTGAAAATTTCAGTAATGATGGTTAATGGAGATCATCGTATTGGTATTTATGCTAAACGAGATATCCAGGCTGGTGAAGAGCTATTTTTTGACTACAGGTTATAATACATCCGCTCTTAATTTATCACATGTCGACTCGAGCTAATACTAACTATTTTTCTTAATTGTGTGTAGGTATGGCCCTACTGACGCTCTAAAGTATGTAAATATAGAAAGGGACAGTACAGATTTAGAATAAGCTATCTAGATTGCGTCGAATATGTCTGTAAAGGCTAAATTTAGTAGCCCTTAAAAATGAAAAAGTGTAGTCTGTTTTCAAAAACTTTACACTTCATTAACCCTTGCATTGTCATCTTGTCAGATTATATTGCTTTCTCATTTATTTATACGTACTATACATAGACACGACTACCCAATCATTTTTATATTCCATTCGTTATTCCCAATGTAGACAGTTTGACAAGAGAATTTAATGTATAGATTATAGGTATATGAATTTAATATATCTGTTCGACTTGTTTGCACATTATATCTGAATGAAGGTGTTCACATTGCCGGCAAAGAATCAATAACATAGTACTGATGACTGTAATGTAGACTATTTTAAGTTCTTTAATCGTAGTTTAGAAATTGTTGCATAAATTTTCAGCAGAGTTATAATCTATTTGGTAATCAAATACTCACTTTTTAT